ACAACAACAACAACAACAACAACAACAACAACAACAACAACAACAACAACAACTCACTTGGAGAGCGCGATCCCGCCAGGCTTGCCGATAAACTCCTCGTGGTGCAGCACCGACTCGTTCCACGGGATGTCCAGGAAGCGGAGGATCCGAGCCATCCACTCCTTGGGATGCAGGGCCAGCTGCTCGTAGTACACGGGCATGCACTTGCCCTGGCCCACGTGCAGGCACTGCGAGTACATGGTCTCCAGAGCGGAGTTCCACTTGCTGAGGCATTTCCTGTAACTGTTGAGGTCAAACCCAGAGATGGTGACTTTGCGGGTGATGATGGAGTGGACAACCGCCCGCCCGTCTCGGATCATGAGGATGAACTTGGAGTTGGGGAACTGTTTGTTCAGGTAGACGGTCGACTTGAGAGTGAACGGGTCCTTGTTGCACAAATGCGGCGCCGCCGGGCCGTGCTTGGCGATGATCTCCAAGATGAACGCCCTGACGGCCGAGTCCATCACCTCCCCCGTCACCCCCGCCTCCGTAAGACGCTTCTTCTCCAGAGCCGAGCGCTCCCACTGCGTGCGCATGCCCAGGATTCGCGGGATGACGCGGGTCTCCTCCCCGCACCGGATTTCCGGGTGCGCGTCGAGCATGGCGCGCATGAGCGTAGTGCCGCTCCGGGGCATGCCGCCAACGAAGATGATGGGCATGTCGTCGCCGTAGGGGATAGCGCGGTGGCGGTCGTCGTACATGAACTTGGTCTGTTCTTTGGGGACCATCACCAGGGAGGGGCCCGAGTCGCAGGGGAACGAGCGGTACACGATGTAGAGGAAAACCAGGCCGGCCAGCAGGAAGTAGAGCTTCTGGCGGACTAGCTGGCGACACAGACCCATGCTGCTGCAGCTCCTGTGGTTGTTGTGGGGGGATTGGTCGTCTTCAATGAATGAAGACTTTCTCAGCCGAGTAGCCACCTTCGCTAAAGGTTAAGGTCCGTCTAAAGCCTATCGAGTCAGTTCTAATACCGGTTGGGCAGAGGCGGGTTTTACGGCTCTTTCAACACAGCACCGTAAAAAAAATTTCTCGAGTGGCAGGACTTTGGGAAAAGAGCAGTTTTGTTTGTTTGTTCGGGGGCTGTTGGTTTTTTGAGGGGTTTTTTTCGAAATACTTGCAGAATTAGGTGTTTTAATAGCAGAACTGGTTGCCTGCGTCGTGGGACTTCAGAGGATGAGGACGATTGTTAGAAACATTGGACGCAAGGCTCGGAATAAGTTATAATAAACTTTACAGGATTTGATTCTTATTGGCACAACGGGAAGTAGTTACGATGTCAATATGTGAAACGATATCGACTGCTATGAACAACGATATCAATGAAAAATGAGGTAACAATAACAGTATTAAAGCTAGAAGTTGCTCTTTCTCGCGTGGAGGAATTCAACATGAAACACACAAAAAGTTGAGAATTCCGTGAATATAATGCACAGTACAAAGCGGGATGGACACGACTAAGAAGGCTTCAGTTGGATTGGGTTATATAGCATCAGAAAGTAACTGTAACAACATGAAAAAAACAACGCCAGCGTCAACACCACATATTTGTTCAGGTAAGGATCTTTGATCAGGAATACCACGAGAAAAAGGCTTTTAAAGGTGTCGGAGAACGCGATAGGAGAGAATAAATAATGACAAGGTATCGGATATCACAAAGACGGACGGAGGAATCGATCTGAGGGCTCGGAGCAGGATCTCGCTTGTCAGTAATCGATACGTAGACACATGGCAGCTTGCGGTGTTCCCACTTATAGACACTGGGGGGTCAATGACGGGGTCACTCACTGAGGTCAACGAGGGGGTCACTCACTGAAGGGTACCGTTCACTGAGGTTAAGGCGGAAGGTCATTCACTGAGGGAGTCTCTGTCACTGGGGCTGAGTGAGTCAGTAACTGAGGAAGGATCACTGACTGGGGTCAAGGAGGGGGTCGGATCACACTTATGACGTCACAGGTCTCCGGTGCAATATCCAGAAGACTGTCTTGTAGGGACGCCACGTCGATGCTCTGACGAACGAGGGGGAACCTGAAACCAAAAAAAAAAGAGACAAAATGTCAATAATTTTTTGAGCCAGTGCAACTTTGGTCACAATTTTTTCTACGTAAGCTTTCAATAAGTTTGCTTTATTTTGGTTGCAAAGAAGGACATTAGGAAGCTCATACAATGACCAGGTAGTATAGATAAAATACAAAGACAAAAAAATAAACGTTTATAAAATATATGTGTTTTACACCCACCTAGACACTATTTAGATCATTTAAAAGGAAGGCTTTGGACCCTGCCTGTCAAGGTCAACCCGGGCGGAGAGGGATACATTTTTCCAGAAGAAACAACCAGACACTGGATAAAAATATACTTCTGCTTCAACTTACCAAGTTTGGTTTACTTGGGTCACAATGAAGGACGAGAACCCTCTTATATTGACTAGTAGCACAAATAATAAAAAGACGGAAAAAAAGCCACGGCTTTACAGACTACACACTAGTCCATACACAAAAACAAGAACGTACGGCACGGCTTTAGACACGTTTTGCGGGTGGTTGAAGGGCGTCACTGGTAGGTCCTACTTCTTTAAGAGGGCTCGTTGTTTCTGTCAGTCTGTCTTACTTTTTTCCTAGCACTAAATAACCATTATTGTGTCTATGTACATAATGTTACTTTAAAAAGAAAACAACCCAAACAAACAAACTTACATGTTTCAGCAAAGTGTGATTACTTATGGGAGCATAGTCTGCACTTTAACGTCCATCCCCGATAGTAACTAGCAGAATAGGTCAAGACGCAAAAAAAAGTTACCATGTAACAGATATTCTGGGATTTGTGTCTGACTTTAGTTTTCATAACAGTTTTACGCTTCGACAAACACAAATATGTCAAAGTGCCAAAGATTAAATGTGTTACTAAAGAGTAACAAACATAGAAAAGGAGGAGAGATAATGATGACAGATGTTGGCAAGAAAAAAAGGAGCAAACCACACCAGGGCACCTGTCAACCACCCACAAGGTGTGATGTTGTAATCGAATCCCAAGACAATGCAAAACATGACCTCGGGCAGGAGGGTCAAGAACAAGCACATCCAGGGAACAAATATCTGCCACATGTCCAATAATACACCTACGTACCTTTGTGTACATAGTATTTCTTGTTTTAGTAAGCGTTTTACCTGTTTTCTGTCTTTTTTCTTTTTTTGGTAAGAGTTTTAACGGCACACCACAATAAAACCATATAAGTGCCGAAGATTAGAGGTGTTAAAAGGGAGTAACAAACGCAAAAAGAAGAGATAACGACGATAGATGTTTGATAGGAAAGAAGGAGCAAACCACACCAAAGTATCTGCCAACCACCCACTTTTTTTAAAGTACGAGTAATACGGCATTTTTAACACAAACGGGTCATAGTTTAGTTTTAGATAGAGTCTTACACACTTGCAACATAATAATGTCATATAAGTGCCGAAGATCAGAGGTTTTACAAGAGAGTAACAAACACAAAAAGGAGGAGAGATCAAGTACGATAAATGTTTGATAGAAAAATAGGAACAAACCACACCAGAGCACTGGCCAACCACCTGCAAACATACCATATACAATGTACGTGCCGAAGAATAGAGGTGTAACTGGAAAGATAAAAAGGAGGATAGACAGATAAGGACGATAAATGGTCACACGCCAACCACCCACGAGGTGTGATGCTTCAATCGAACACCGAGACAACACTAAACATGACCACAGGGACTAGGGCATAAAAAAGAGCGTCAAAGGGTAACGAACACTTGCCACATGTCCAATAACACACCTACGAACGTTTGTGTACACAGTGTTTATCGCTTGTACACGTGGGCGTTTTTACCGCACTTGCAACACAATTAGGTCATACTATATGTCGATTATAGTTTCTGAGATGTTGGAATACAGTTTTCGCTTTATTTTTCTAAATTTGGACAGCTTTTTGTTGTTTGTCAGGCCAAGTATATGCTGCCCCCCCCCCAAAAAAAAAACCCAAAAAAACAAAACCACCCCTCTCCTAATAAAAGAAAGAAAAATAAATACAGAAATACATAAAGAATGAAAAAGAAAGGAAGAAAGGAAGAAAGAAAAAAGAAAGAAAGGAAGGAAGGAAAAAAGAAAGAAAGAAAGACTGAAAGAAAGAAAGAAAGAAAATTCAATGAACAACACACCTGAAGGAAAATAACAAACAACCGTACACTTGACTCCGTTGTTGTCGCTTTTGTTCTTGTGTTAATTGTAGTGGCAGTTACTTTTGCTGTCATTTTATCTAAACCTGGTTGTCCTCTTCTAAAAAATCAGCTCAAACAAGGTTGGATTTCGCCATGAACAATTTCAGAATAAAATAAAATTGGAGAAAAACATTAAAGGGTACTTGACGCCAGAACGCCCACAACCACCCACTGGGATTTGGAAAGACATTCCATTGCCAGAATTTTATTCATACTATTTTCATAGGTTTTCACGCCCACATCGACATAGTTTAGATCACTTAGGAGGCGGGCTTCGGACCCTGCCTGTCAGGCCCAGCCCGGGCACAGAGGGACACATTATCCCAGCAGAAAGACAGACACACTCAATAAAAAATGTTCTACCCACTCAAGAATAAACTCGAGTCTCCTGCATGCGAAAGCGAAGCGCCCAACCGCTACACCACAGACACCGGTGCACTGCTATAAAAACGCCCCCCAGCCACCCACCGGGACTTCGTAATGACATCGTAGAAATACAGAGGCTATCCATCTAATCCTGCCACAACCCGACCATCTCCGGAGACTCATCAGAACATTGGAGGAGTGGAGAGAGAGAGAGAGAGAGAGAGCGAGAGAGAGAGAGAGAGAGAGCGAGAGAGAGAGAGA